TATCGTTCTCAAATGGATGGTATCTTGGTTCCGATGTGCTATCTGCTCTTGCTTTGACTACTTGGACTTCAGTGTGATTTTGCAATTGGTATCTCCGTGCTTCGTCCACATTCATGTTCCTTGCAACTTGGTATCAGAGCTGGTTCGATTCGCCGCTTACCTTGGTGCGCTGGCGTTATACAGACTTGGTGCGATGACGATGCTTCTTCGCAGTTGTTTCTTGTGACGTCAGGCCGATATTAGGCGCACGACTTGGGTAGAGAGGTGTGCGCCAGAAGGCTGTACGGCTCGGGATGCCGTGGCGACGGCGGAATGTATGATTGGTGATGAGAGCATGCTGATGTGGCATTTGGCTGAGGTGGCACTGCATTGCGTTGTGGGTGGTACCGAGGCTACGACCGGTCAAATGCACACTCAGCTCAATTGGTGAGAAATCTGTGGTTGGGGGCAGCTATCTCCAGGTACGTTGTTCCCTTACCTTATCTACTCTCTCATCTCTTCTTACCGCGAGGAAGTGAGTCCAACTTGAGAGTCCTCTCTTTTGGTGAGGTGTCGTGAGCGCTCTACCTTGAGAGACGACAATCTTCCAAGTGGCGCATTTGGAAGGAGAAAGGGCGGTGCCTCTGAAGGGCCCTGGTCGAAGCACGTGGGTCACGGTCACCATGCCAACCCAATGGGATTAGTACACACATGCGATGGCTGCTATGTCCATGAGGGCACTTTTGCTGCGCTGATAGAGGGGTGTGCGGACTGAACAGGCTTATGCAGACGCTCCCAGACTGTCTATAAACATTTCTGGATGGGGTTCCGATCTGTCAACTGGCTGTGATCGTCGTCCTGATTGCGACGTTAAATAATTTATGAGCGACCTTGGGGGCAGTCCTTAAATAGGCCTCTTGATCAGCCAGATCAGTCAGATGTACGGCTCGATGCACACAAGGATAAAGAAAGGGCAAGCCTGGTCATAAGCATGCATCTGGGGCACAGGGGTGGGCCGACATTGCACACCTATGACACAACTGCTCAATGATGCTCGTCGGTATGTTGGATTGAGGGGAGGGTAGGTTCCAATTGGTGCTCAACTGTAAACACAACCATATCCACTGTTCATACATATGCAACATAATTTAGTTTTATTGTTGATTAGTTGGTTGACAGACTGCTAACA